TCCAGCAGGGCAGAATTTCTTCATATTTACTTATTTATTTTTGCACACTGCTATATTGATAATGTCTACAGTAGTGCCTGGTACCCAGTAGGCACTCGACACTTACTGAATGAGTGTTGACTAAATGAGTGAACTAAACCTGAAGAATATTGTTAGCATTTAGGCATTGGTAGAAGAAAAATGCCTCATAAACATAGAATATGTAATGGGTAGGAAAGGCATAGAGGGCACTAGGAGAGCTCGGTTTGCCTGCAAGGATATTGACAGTTTCTGTCACTCAGCTTAACTTCGTCTCTTGGCAGTTTTTGATCAAGTGGTTAAGACAGCAAGTCTGTTACTCTCTTACATCTCTTTTGTCCCTACCTTATCCTGGCAGCTCCAGAAGGGTCGTTGCTAATGGGTGGCAGTGGGGGGCAGGCTATATAAGAGAATGTATGGAAGCTCATGCCTCCAATGGCTCATACCCTACAGCAGGTGATTCATTAATTTCTATTCCCTTCCTTCACACGTCCTTCATCATTTCTTCCTCTTCATCGACCTTTTGTCAGGTATGTTTTCTAGCCACCTCGGTAGTGAATGGTTTGAAGACTATACTTGTTCCCAGGTTAAGAATGGAGCCTGAGAAGGAGGGAATATGGCAAGGAAGGATGAAGGGGAGAAGAAAGGGTGGGAGAAGTTCTGGGGGCATGGCTCATGATTAACAGCTATCTGAGAGTCATCTCACTGGATTTCACTGAATTTAGGCCATACAGTCATGGTTAAAAAGATTTAATTCCCAACTTTAGGAAGATGACAATATATCCCCCAATCACTGTGACACTAACCCTGCGTAGACTGTCGAGAAACCCCATGCGGTGTTCATTGAATTATCCCAGTGCTGATAAATTCTGCCACTCCATCCCAGATTCAATTTGGAGGTTGCAGATGCAGAAAAGATGATGAATGTGGGGACGAATCTAATTTCATTAACTGAAGCCTTCATATTCTGCACTTCCAATAAATATCGACATAGGGTGTGATGAAAATGTGTGTAGCTGGTAGCCTTTTCCCAGCTTTGTCTTGCCAGCACTGTATAGAGAAGCCAGGGAAAGAAGCAGGGTTGGATCTAGCTCGGGAGCCTTTGGGTTCAAGTCTTAGCTCCATCAGTTACTAGCTGGGTGACTTTGGAAGACAGAGCTTTAATTTTTTTCATCTAGTCAATGGGAGATGTATTAGTTCTTCCAAAGATCCAGGGACAGAAAGTGTGAAAATTGCCTGAGGACTTGGCCTCATTGGATCTTTTCACTCTGCCTTTGATGGTGACTATGTCATCTTATGTTGGCTCTTTTCTTGGTCTTAGGATGGATGTCCTTACATCTGTGGGCTTCCATTCTTCCTTATGTGACCCCAGAATGAAAGCAGGATGCTCATTTCCCAGAATTCCAATGAAAAGTCATATAGTCAAATGCCTAACCTGTCTCTGGGGCATGGGTTGGGGTGGGGGGATTGTTCCGATTGGCTTAGCCTTGCTTACTTCTTCTATACCTGGAGCGGGAATCAGCTTTCTTGGAGCTGTCATAAAGAGGGAGGGGAAAATGGATGCCAGGGAGGCCACCAAAACATCTCTACTGAAGGCATTAAATTGTTTCCTCATCTCTAAGTACCTGGTTGGGGTACAGGGAGAGGACTCATTGCCCTTCTCTACTCCCTCATCCTTTCCCTTCCCTCCCATCTGCCTGCTACAACGAACTGCCAAACAGTGATGTTCAGACAATGAGCATTATGGAGTGTAGAGAGGCTGCCTGTGTGGACCACCTCAGTATGCTCTCTGCCCTTTATCATAGAGTGGAGCTTGGCCCGGAGGGAACCTCAAGAGCGGGAGGGTAGAGATTGGGCACTTATTGCTCTGGGGCTCTCTCTGTCCCTCAGTTCCCATTGGAAAGCCCTCTCCATGTAACTACTCTCTTTGGATTCCAGTAACTTCTGCTCCCTTTGCCTCTCTGGACCTGGGGGTGGTAACTGCTCCCTGCTTTCGTTAACCCTTAGGTTCTGCACTATCCCTTACTGGTTTTCTTCCCACATGTAGTTTTATTATTAAACAGCTTGTACATGCCTTGGCTTCACCATCAGAGTCCTGACTGACACATACCTTCATCATTTTATGTGGATGACCCGCGGTAGGTGGGACACATGACATCTGTGGCCTCATTCTCCCTCTGTCTCAGGTCTTGCTTTCCTGTCTCTTGATCTATTCTCTTTGCCTTGTGGTCTCACCAACACTGCAGTCCTAGTAACCCAGGATTTTAAGTTATGAGCTTCATGGGCACCGCTTTAGAGAATGTGCACCTCACCTTGTTGTGGTTGCTGGACCCCTAGCAATTATTCATGGCTGAATTCTAATGACCATGGAGCCTCTGTGGTGGGCGTTGGTTGTCCACAGTGACCACGTAGGCCCAGGAAATGCACATTTGGGTATTTCCAATGCGGAGAACTGGCTCAAGCCTATGCTTAAAGGGAAGGTAAGACAGCCCACATCGAGGATGAAGCCTCCAGTTTCAAGTCTCTAGGGGCCTTTGCTTAACTGTTTTAACTGCAAAATGCACACTTAGAAGAGCAAGACCTCCTGGGTGGGGGCGTGGGGCGGTGTGGTGGGAGGGTGATGCCAGGGAAGCTGTCAGACTCATTCAACAGCCATCCCACGGAGGAGCCCTGCGGGCCAAGCCTGAACTCTCAGAGAGGTGGCACTTCTCCCTTTGGTGATCAGTCCCTTGTCACCAGAGCTCATTATCTGCTCAGTGTGAGTCACTGTGCCCCACTCAGCGGCCCCCACACCCTTTAGCTGAGTAGGCTCTGAGAGCCTTCCTAGTGGGAGGACATGGAGCAGGGAGGCCCCAGGCTTAGGCCTCCTGGGACTTAGGAAGAACACTGGCTTTCTCTTTTTTCCCATTTGGAGACACCTGGGGAAGGAGGGAAGGGAGAGGGAGAAGGAGAGCAGGAAGGGGAGATCTGAGCTTCAGAGTGGCAGAAAGGGTCTGGGAGAGCAGGTACCTGGGTCACAGAGACCACAGATCTGTGTGGACTCTCTTTGTACTGATCACTACAGCCAGAGCCTTGTCTCTTACCCTTTGTCCTGGTCAGGTCTTACTTGGCTGTCCCCAACATGCATTCCCTCCTCTCCAGCCTGTCATCCCTCTTTCCTCACCAAGCTGCTCTGGATCTTTCTCCAACCCCACCTTCCTGTCCATTTTAACCATTGCTGCGGGGCAGAGGCCCATGTCTTCTCCTGCCTAATCCCACTGCTTGCTAGCTGTCCCCATTAGGCCAGTGAAAGCACATGTCTAACAGCAGATTCTCCCAAGTGCTGGCCATTCTACTGGTGCCCACCTGCCTAATGGAAGTATCCATCCTTCTGTCTGTGCCCTGAGACTGGGAATTCCTGGGACAGGCCTATTCCATCCAACTCTGCATCTCAGAAGCTGACATATAGTTAAACCAGAGGCTCATAACAGGGGCAGTTGTGCCTCCCAGGGACACTGTGTAATGTTGGGAAACATCTTCTGGGTTAGAACGGCGGAGGGATGGTACTGGCATCTAGTGGGGAGGCCAGAGATGTGCCTGATGCTGCAGCCCACAGGGCAGTGCCCCCACTCCATCCGCAACAAAGGATTATGGCCCCAATGTCAACAGTGCCAAGGTTGAGAAGCCCAGCCTAATCCCATGGTGGTTACTCAAGCGATGTTTGCTGAATGAATACATTATGGAAAATGTGGTGAAATATGGGTTGCTTACCATCTGCCACATACTGAACTGAACGCTTTCTCTGTCTGTCTTAAATCTTCCCTTCACCCCATAAGGTTTTAATCACCATGAGCATGTGGGTGTATCTTCCCTACACCCTAGTCCCCCTTGGTCTGGCACTGTGCCTGGCACGTACAGGGGTTTCATATGTGCTTGAAGAAGCTGAAGCTCGGGGAGGTCATCTGACGGAGAGTGGCCTGCTGGAGCTCTGACCCTGCCATGGTCTTTCTGCAACATCACACCATGCAATAACTGCCTGCAATTTCCAATGTCTTTTAAACCCGCAGGTTCACTGACCTTCAGAAATGCAGGTAGAACAAGTTTTATTCAACCTGTTTAGTAGTGGGGAAGTTGAAATACGGGGGTCTCAGGGACTTGGTTTAAGTACTGCAGGGAGGTCTGGGTGGGTCTTCCCTAACCTCAGTCTTTTCAGAGGAGATAACAGGTGGGCGGGTAGGGAGGGGAGGGGGATTGGCACTTTCTCTTCCGCCAAGACCCCTTGATGAGAATCTAAAGTAAGCCTGTCTGGGTCAGTGGCTACTGTGTTGGGGGGCTTTGTCAGCTAACTGGGGTATTATCACATTTCCAACCTCAACGAAGTGAATTAGAAAGACTCCTGAACTTGAGGCAAAGATCTGTGGACAGAAGATCAGGCTCGGTCACTATTTAAGTGATCTTGGCCAAATTCCTTAAACTTGCCTCATCTAATTTTCCTCCTTGGCTAAGTGGAGATAATGCTGCTGGCAGGCATAGAGGAGATGAAGCTTGGAAACGTTTCTCGAGGTAAGAGCCCTATCCAGTGCATAGACTGGGTGTGATGGGTGACCTTTACATTAAAACCTGTTTTTTGGCTACATTCAGTGAAATAAGCCAGACACAAAAGGACAAACACTGTAGGATTCCACTTCTGTGTGTTTCTGGTCAAAGCAGAACGGCAGTCTAGGACTGGGGGCAAGGGAGAGGATCAGTGTTTAATGGGAACAGACTTTCTGTTTGGGATGATGAAAATCCTGGACAAGGGTGGTGGCAATGGTTGTACAATGTTGTGAATATACTTAACGCCACTGAATTGTATACTTAAAAATGGTGAAATTGGTGAATTTTATGTAATTTTATTACCACAATAAAAAAAAACAAATTAAACATGGATTCCTGGTTTTTCAAAAGGATTTGTGTGTTTGGCCTCATCAAATCCAGTTCTTAATCCAACTTTTCTTTTACAGAGGAGGATGTCAAGGTAGAGAGAAACCAGATGACTGGCTCAGGGACGCATGCATGCGAGGATGGACCATGAGGAAAATGGGATCCAGGATGTGTCAATTCCATCTTGCTGCTTTTTGGTCATTGTCCCAGGTAAAGCCTTAGCTTTGGGTGGGTGGCTGGTGGTCAGAGAAGATGCCCTTTTCACTAAATAGGAATCAGGGCAAAGGTAAAGAATATTCCCAAAGTTTGGAAACCAAGCGGAATCAAGTCCTTGGGACATCAATGCACTTGCTGCTGGAAGCAAAGTGTACCTGTTGCTGATCAGATGAGTGATGGCAAGACAGGGAACAGCAGTCCCAGAACCACTAGTGTGTCTACCCCAGTGTCAGAGGTGATCAAGTGCTTCTTGAGCGAATGCATAGATAAGCAAGCACATTGCATGGAAGAATCTGGCGTCACACCAACTGCTGATTCCCAGATTTGCCACCTCTTATTGCCAGAGACCTGAGTTCAGGTCACTTTCTCTTCCTAAGCCTCAGTTCCCTCATCTGGAAATCAGGGATAATAGTGTGCATGACTCACAGGCTTGTCTCGAGAAGTAAGTATAAGATGTGGTAAGTGTTCAACAAGATAATGGCTATCATAGTATTACTGGCAGTAATAATGGATGAAACAAGGATTTTATATTCGAGCAAGAGTCTTCTATGTTAGATCTGTGTCAAAGCCTCAGGTCTCCAAGGTGCTTCCAGGAGAGGGGGGCTATGTGACATTCAGAGATGGGGCCGGTGGGGGACCATCCAGGATCTCATTTGACCATAACCGTTTGTGGTGGTGCAGAGAGAGAGCCTTCGTGTGATTTCGGGGCATCCCCGATACATAACTCTGTCCAGCGTCAGGGTCCTTAGGTGTCAAGCAGGCATGGTCTTCTTCAGACTGTTGCAGTTTCCATGGGAGAGACAATCTGCCCAAGAGTTTTGTGAACAGCAAGGTGGTGTGCAGCATGAATTAGAGTCACATCAGGCACTGAGTTAGGGGCCAGGCTATAAGCCAGGGCCTGTGTGCCTCTGGGTTTCCCTGCTTGGGATGGGGAATGGGTGTGTGCTCCCCCAGGAGCTGGGGGCCTGGGTGAGATCATCCCCTGTGAGCTGCTGGGCCCTGAATAGCAAGGTCTCCAAACTTCTCAGAAGAAAGGCTCTGTCTGCTTGCAAGACAAGTCTATAATTATAATTTTTGATTTAGAAAATAGCATGACTCAAGCTTGATGCGGTGGGCAATGTGGGTAGTCATGTCTTGGTTTCTTTCCCAGAAAACCCTCAGCTAGGTACAACACACCTTTGATGGATGTACAGTAGAGTTTTTTCTTTCCGTGATTTTGAAGACCTCATTAATGCATTCAGAATATTAATTAGTTCTATTTTCAGCCATGACAAGCTGAAACTTTTCTGGATCTTTCCCACTCCTAGTGACTTTCTTTACTGGCCATTCTCAGCTTTGGTCATATTAATGCAGCAAGGCAATAACACTGGGGGAGGGGAGAAGACTAACAGGGAGAGAGGGCCCAGGGGGCATGCTATTTCTTAAACTCACAAAACAGCCTGGAAGACTGCTCTTATGATCAAGGGTTACAGTCAGCCAAAATTCAGGTTGCTGAAGTAAGCAGCCGGATGTCAGAGGGACTGAGGGCCTGAGGGGCGGGGCGTGTCAGGTACTCGCTTGTGCCCTTGCCATTGCACCGCAACGCAGCGGGGACGGGGAGGGGCTGGAGAGGACGCAGAAAGTGGCATGATCTAAATGAATGGCTGGCAACTGAGACAAAGTAGAAAAGCACCCCAGACAGTCTGGGTTCAGCTGCTTAAAATAGGCAAAGAAATTCTTTGGCTAATGTATAATCACCGCAGGGATTAATGCAGCGTTGCTCCTTGGGGTTAATTTATACTCCATGAGCTCCTATTAGATGAGATTTCTAAAATGCATAAGAGCACAGGGCTCGTTAGGGACTTTCATAAAAGCCTGGTTCGGGGAGAAGAGAGGGAGCCGGTCCCATGATGCCGTCCCAGAATAACCTGGGCAGGGGCAGGTGCGGAAGTCTGCTGCTGACCTGCCTGCCTGGGGGCCTTCTCTCCTTGTCCCCGCTCAGCACTGCAAGGAAGCAGCATGGTGGAGAGCAAAGACGGGGTGGGGGGGGCTGTCTTCGAATCCCAGCTGAGTGGAGGCAGAAGGATCTTGGAGAACTTCTTATCCTATCCTCCTCTGCCGCCTGTGGCTGGACAGATGGGGGAGACTGAGGTCTGAAGGGGTGAAAGCTCATGGTCCAGTGCTTTTTTCTTCTTTCCCTCTTCTGGATACAACCCAGCCCTCTGGGCTTGTCCAATATTCCCGGCAATGTCCTTTTACTACTGTTTTGCTTAATCATCACTGATCCTAAGTTCTCACTCTCGAAGGAAGATGTCACTCAGTATCGTCCATTCACTCAGAAGGAACGTACTGCCCACCTTCTTGCCTGGTGTTGCGTTCAGCTCTGGAACATGCAGCTGCAGATCTCACTGCGTTTCCCTTCAGAGGACTGTCGGGAGCAAGGCAGCATTATAAACAAGGACTCCTAAGCCTCCTGTGAGCTCCTGCTCTTCAGTACGTCGCTGCTGAATAATGAAGGGATCTCCTGATTGGTTTGTCTCTTTCTGTCCCTGTCTGTCAGTTCAGGAAACATGCACCCACAGATTAATCTTCCAGAAAACAGCTCTGGTCATGCAGAGCCCTCCGTGGCTCTCATCGCCTTGACAAATCCCACACGCCTAAACCCCATTTGGATTACTTGTCCCTCACATCCAGACAATGTAGAGCTCGAGGTTGGTTCTAGAGCCCACTGTCTGCTATTACCTTCAACAGGAGCAGTGGATTCCTGTTCTCCCCAGCCCAGACTTCCTTCCTGATGTCTGCTTTGGGGAGCCACACCCCAAAGGCTCTCCTGTCACATCACTGCCTCCAGGAAAACTTCTCTGAACGCTTTCCAGAGAGAAGGTCCTTCACATCTCTAAACCCTTCTCAGAGATCTTCCCAACAGTTGGTTTTGTAATTCCTGCAAATTTTAGCTCATGCTCAGCCTCGGATACCACAGTTTACTCATCTGTTAGATGGGACATTAGTGATACCCAGCTCACCCCTTGTGAAGACTGAGTGTGGAGTTCCATACGCTAGCAGGTCCACTTGGCCCAGAGATGATTGTTTCTATCGCTGTCATGGCACTGTTCGATAGAGCGTCATTTCCATTTCTTGTTAGACTCCATAGCACCGGAGCTATTCCTTCCATGTAAGTGAGACCTGCTACCTGATTGATCAGGGAACTGTATTACTCATTCATTGAACAGAGAGGGTACTGATTGTTTCTAAGGTACCAGTTTTTGAGAACACAGTGGTGGAGTCACAGGCCTGCCCTCCCGAAGCCCGTGGTCTGCTGGGGAGGCACAGACACAGATCAGGCTGCAGTAGCACAGGGGTCAGAGAAGGGACAGGAGCCGACAGGGTCCCACGAGTTCAAGTGAAGGGATTCACTGTGTTCTGGCTCATCTCACGGACACTTCAGTGGTATTTCTCTTCCCTAAATAGTGCTTTTCTCCCCTAAATTTTGGCCAAGACTCTAAAGTTGAGAACAAAGGGATTCTAAACAATGAAGTTGGAAAGCGGGGGAAGAACTGCTAAGGGTTGGCCCTCAAGTCTGACCAAAGGCCTTGGCCCTTCACTCCCCTGGAGGCTATGAATGAACCTGACAGCGGGTGAACAGGGAGAGGGTTGAAGGTGGCATTCTCTGCAGAGGAGAGTGCCAGGACACTGTGCGCCTGGTGCCCTCCCCACGGGTAGGCAGTGTGGGTACAGGAGGGAGGGTGGGCTTTTCTGAGTATCTGAGTGCTTGGCCTGGGATATTCGGGGGAACTAGGGGTGGTAATGGGGTGTAGGGCGAGTGATGCATGGAGCCTGAAGAGCAGGGAAGCCAGCCATGAGCTGTCTGGCCACGGGCCTAGAGTGTGTGGGATGGTCAGCTGTAAGCCACGGGCGAAGGGAACATTATAAGCCACACGCCAGAGATGGCATCACCCAAGCTAGGGGACTGTAGTTAGAGGCCCCTAGTAGATGTACTTCCATGGGGATCCCAAAAAAGTTGCATAAGGAAAGGGGTAAGCATTGCATCTGCCACACTCATGGGACCTCTAGTGTTGGATGACAACTTCAGGCATTGGATAGTTCCTGCCCTTCACCTCTTGCCACAGGAGTACCCTGGCTCCTCCCATGCCACCCTGGAGGACCCAGAGGCAGCCTGGAAGGAGCAGAGAAGGTGAGATAACAAAATTTCCTTTTCTGCAGTGGGCCTCTCAGCCTGGGACAGGAGGACACTGGCAAGAATATATATACATATATGTGTGTGTGTGTGTGTGTGTAGAGAGAGAGAGAGAGATTGATTGATTTAACTTATTTATTCAGCAGAGAGACACACAGACAGAGGGAACACAAGCAGGGGGAGTAGGAAAAGGAGAAGCAGCCTTCCTGCCGAGAAGGGTGCCTGATGAGGAGCTCGAACCCAAGATCCTGGGATCATGACCTGAGCCAAAGACAGACATTTAACATCTGAGTCACGCAGTGGTCCCAAGAAGAGGTTTTAAATAAGGTGAGGCTTTAGGCTTTGGTGTTAGGCTAAACTGCTGAGTTTTAAAACTGCAAAGTGGAAGTACTTGGTAGCACCTAAGAGTTGTCTGGAAAGTCAGAGTTCTTCCTTCTCCAGATCTGGGGAAGTGAGATTCAGACCAGCAGTGTTGAGGCATGGATGGGGAAGAATAAAGCTGCCCTCTGTGCCAGGGTCGAGGATCCCCACAGAATGACTGAGTGACTTGCTCAAGTGGACACAGGAAGGAGGTGTGAAACAGGGTCATGAAGCCAGGAATGAATTCTAAATTCTTCTGTCCATGGTAAAGAGTCAGGACCACACAACTCCCAGGGGGAAAGCCACTTTCTTCTTCCAGGCTCAGCATAGAACCTGGTGTGTTGACCTCAGCGTTGGAGCAGAGAGAGATTGCAAGGGCTCTAAATGGCAAAACACAGTAAGCGCAAAGGTTGGAATGTGCTTTGAAGAGAGAGTCCTATGGCTCTTTGTCCCTGAGGTC